TTTTATTTGTGAAACAAACCCCTATATTTTCTATACGTGGATTTCAGAAATAATATCCTAAGTTTGTTTGATATTTTAAAATAACTTTGTTTTAAAATACTTGTTGCTATCCTAAAACCACGTGGAAAGAGAAAGAGTTTGAAAAATATTGAAAGTTTGAAAAATCCCTTCTTAATAAAATAGGAAACCAAGGTTATTGCGGCTAGTAAAATAATGACACGTTGTAGTTTATCTGGTTGGTAAGGAAAATTATCTAATAAAAACTATTTTATGTTGTTAAATTTTTGGGGTAGAGATATAGTCCATGTGTTATCTGGGCTCAATCGTACTATTTATTGTATTTGATTTAACTTTGCAGCCTGATAATCGTGATGAGATTAAAAATTTTATTGTTTACATGTTTGGAGTTGAAAGATTTTTGTTTACTATCTATATTTTGAAACAAATTTATGGAAGCATTTTATCAACGATTGAACATTTTGAAAAAATATGAATGTACAAATGAACAAGTCGAAATATTGAAAACTTAACATAAATCCAGAAAGCATTGCCTACTTGGTACCCAGTGGCTTGATTCCTTAAGTTGGACAACGTTTGAAGAATGCTAAGCAATTCGTGACTAGATTTTTGCTCAAAGGGAAACCAATGCCACAGTTGAATAACTCTGAGAACATACATATACAGTGCTTACATAGGTCCACAGTTTGTGAGTTACCTGTTTTAACTAGGAGTATGATAGCTGCCAAAATTCGTTTCCAAGTTACCACTAGGTCCTAAAGTGGCCCTTTTCGATACAAGTTCAAGCATTGGAAATTTGCGAGGAACAATATGAAATTTTGGTTAATGTGACGTTGTTGCTGCACTATTATTTAGGCTTAAACTATTTAATTCACTTTAAGTACTCCCAGTATTTGATTTTTCTAGAATTCTTTTCAAAATATAGGCTGAATTTCTTTATGACAGGTTTACATGTGAATTGTAATTAACAGCTGATCCTTTTGTAGAATATTTTTAGCCACAGTCGTAGTAAACATATCATTCCGGGGGATTAAATGTACAGTATACAGAATAAATGTTACAGAATATGTTGCTGGACAAATATTACAGAAGAACTGTAAACAAATTATTCTCCCTTAAGATTCGTTCACAGATTTTTTCGATGTTGAATCTGCATCAAACATTTTTAGTGTTTATTGCCGTTTCACTATAAAAACACTGACATCTACCCTTTATTGACATCTAGACAGAGTTTACGTATTTGAATTTATTAATTCGTTTGACGGAGTAATAGGTTTTGCTTTCAACAGCTTTTGGTATACAATAGAAAAACAAGACGGAAATACTTTTAGGAGTTAATTATTTATATAAACTTCAACCATATCCGAAATTAACACCAAAACAAAAGTCAACTAATTTAACACCACGACGATGTATTTCGTGTTCAAAGTTGACATTTTTCGATCCAGAACACTCTTTGTATACCAAAGACTTACTGATTCAGTCTGATTTAGTATTCAGGCCTATGTGGGTTTACTTCCCGATTCAGACGTTTCCCTTGTCTTGGTAAACGTGTTACCACATTGTCATTCTAGTTCCTCTCGGTTGGGCTTCCATTTATTACACTCATTGTTCAGTCCTTTGTATTCTTCAGTCCTAAAACTGTGTACAATATCTTAAGTGTTTAACAAGAATATATGGCTCTAGAGAATACATAATACTTGAACCAGTATTGAACTTTCTTTAGTATCGTTTTTATCCAAAGAAGTATTCAGGTTTAATTACTATATATTTTACGCATTTTTGTCTTTCTGAGGGAAACGGTTCTCTTACCTATTCAAAATTCAAGCTATTGCCAGTATAGCTTGCTGTGTACTCTAGTGACCATTCGGGGGTTCGGAATCTGTTTTGACAGACTTCAACCAGATACACAAGAAATTATCTTATAATTCATGAACAAACAGGTTACATATTTGCTGATTTTTGGCCACATTATCCGTATTTTGTTCCCAGTTTGCCCCGAGTATTAGTATCAGCTGATATTTTGGTTTCGTCCCTCACATTTTTGTCCCCAGTCCCCTCCGTTTATTAGTATCAGCTGATATTTGTTCTCGTCGTCCACATTTAGTCCCCAGTTCTCTCCGTTTATAAGTATCAGCTGATATTTTGTCTCGTCCCTCACATTGAGTTCCCACTTCACTACGTGTATCAGCTGATATTTGGTCTCGTTGCCCACATTTTGTCCCCAGTTCACTCCGTGTATAGGTATCAGCTGATATTTTGTCTCGTTCCCCACATTTTGTCCCCAGTTCACTCAATGTATAAGTATCAGCTGATATTTGTTCTCGTCGTCCACATTTTGTCCCCAGTTCACTCCTCTTAGTATCAGCTGATTTTTGTTCTCGTCGTCCACATTTTGTCCCCAGTTCACTCCGTGTATAAGTATCAGCTGGTATTTGTTATCGTTCCCCACATTTTGTCCCCAGTTTACTCCGTGTATAAGTATCAGCTGATATTTGGTCTCGTTGCCCACATTTTGTCCCCAGCCCGCCTCGTGTATGCCCGGTATGTTAGGGTGGGGCGATCGATCGGCCAGCGCGCAAGCTCCGCTAACCATTCACCATCCCAACCTTTGTTCTTGCCAAAGCACTATTCAAAATGCTCTCTATTTTTGTACCAAATTGAAAAGTACCCTGGTCGGATGGCGTCGACTCGCCTGACTAACCTTTTATATAAAATAACATATCGACCTACACCGATTCCCAATTACTTTCAATAATTCTACTCGAGTTTCTTTCATACAGATAGAATTCGGTTAGCTGTAGGAATCCCGTGTTTTTTTTCACCATGTGAAGTAATGTAATGTAATGTAATGTAAACTACAGTAAAAAAATGTTTTACATAGTTTGGGACGAACTAAGTTAAACGATTCATTTTAACTTTCAGTTGAGCCTATAACCTTTCAGTTAACCTACAACGATTATAATACTCACCCTGATATATGTTTTAAATGACCATATATGCAAAAATCGCATTGAAAGTTTAAAATACCTTACAACAAACACATTACATATTCTACTATCATCACAATTTTCAAACTACCATTATGACACACTTTACACTACTAAGATAAATTTAAATGAAACAAATGTGACAGTGTGGAGGTTCTGTGAAAATTTGTGTTAATGATCATGTATATACTTCTGATAGGATGCAGAGCAAATAACAAAATTCTGAGGTTGATTAAAGTAAATCTGATTGATAATGGCATGTATGGGATATTTTTGCCATGTTGTGGGATAAAATTTAATGCTTCGCATTTCATTGGATCTGATTTGTCTAAGATGTGTCTGATTTGTGCCTACTAGATGGTGTGTGGTGAATGAATTTGAAGATTTTTAAAATGTTTGGAGATTTCTGTTCCCTAGGGTATTGTTTCTACAACTTTGGAAACATTATTTGTACGGACATTTGTTTATTTTACCACTCCTTAAAACTAGATAAACTATAATTTCAGTATTGAATGATGGAGTTATGACTGATGTAAAACTAATGTGCCAAAGCTCTAGAGATTCTTACCCCCAATTCACTTTGAGATAATAACAGTGTATGTTTTTCTGCCCCTTCTCTATCATCGGGATTAGGTTTAATGAGATTTGTCGGTGTAATTGTCTTCTCTACACGATGAACAGTTTGTAGAGGTTCAAATGTTCAAGTAGTCCAAGATAACTATTGTTGATTACTACTATTTATTCACATTCTGTTTATTTGTTGAAGTTACGACTTTATTTAAAAGAACGTTTTTGGATTAAACTATATTGTCCAGCGTGCAATAACTGCTTCTTCAGACAGATTCAGTGGTTATCTTTTGACCTCGTTTCATTTCAAACAAAGAGTGACTTTGGTGGTGATTGGATTCAAAGAACTCACTGGGGGTACTGCTTTAACAATATTTATTTTAAGACATACTGTAAAATTTCAATTAGGCAAATTTTGTTTCTAACAATTTTCCAGTTTCAGCATACAGCCCTATCAAATTATGTTGTCATTTTAAGGTAATACTGTAGCACTGTAATTGTAAATCTACAACATAAGGGTTTTAACTAATCTGTATAGTTCCTTCTTTTATACGTACATAGACACCGATTGTGTTTATTTGCCAGCAAAATGTTCTGAAAGGTTGAAGGTTGTTTGAGCTATCAAGTCATGACAATTCGTACCCAATTCTTCTAGACCTACTAAGGTTAGCATATCTTCCAGATAAAATAATGGTTTGTGTAGGGGTGTTCATCTGGCTAATTCATTGGATGAGTGCTTTCACACGATTCTCACAGGGACTGATCATAATGTGTAAATAAGTCATCGCTTTAACTTGGATTTTGAACAAAACGTTGGATGCAATGTGATGTGATTCTCGAAGTGATTAGTTATTGTGTGAAAATAGCGTTAGTAAAATGATGGGTAGCATGTTTGGATATGATTCTCATAGGGATTGGTTATGGTGTGAAGTGGGTAATCTGTTTATCATAGACTTCTAGCAAAATCTCGAATGTAAGGTGGTTGGATGTGTTTTCTCGTTGTGATTGACAAGTCTGAACTTTGTTATTCTTTTATCGTGGATTTCTATCAAAACGTTGGTAAATGCGTTTACGTGATTCTCATAGCTAGGGTATGTGAAGTTGTCGTTACATCATATGTTTTAGCAAAATGGATAATGGATGGTATGATATGACTTTTGTGGTATTTGCTAAATGTGTGTAGCCTAACTAACATGAAAATCTATTACTCTTAAAAAGTGATTTTTTTGTATTCTCAAGTGTTTGGTTGTGGTTCAAGTGTGTGAAGTGGGTGATGGATTAAATTAACGATGAATAGTGTTATTCTCATGATGATTGTGATCCCGGATGAGTCTCGTTGCGATTGGTTGAGTGTTGTGCTGATTGCTGATTGCTGATACTGAGTAGCTATCTCAGCCAGACCCAGATGCAGAGTTTCTGTTCCAGGTACCCCAGTTGAGGTCGGTATCACTATGTACGTGCTATCGATCAGCTCCCTGTCAGAAGTCCAAATGGTACTTCCATCAACTTACTGTTTTTATTCGCATCTCTTGTTCAGAACTACTACTGTAATCGTATCCTCTAGCTGTTTTATTTGTTTACGAGTTTGTGTTCTCGATAAATGTACTCTCTATCTCTGGCCCGATGATTTGGCATGTATGTTGTTTGGGGTCCATTGCTGAAGGACCGATCTCTTGCAGGTCCGCCGGTCGAAGTGGGGGTCACCATGTACGTACTGAGCATCTCGTCCCTCTCAGAAGTCAAAATGGTACCTACATTCTCTCTATCTATCTTCTCTACAACATTTACTGTTATGTTCTGTTTTCTACTTTAAGTCCCACCGATTGGATTCCTTTCACGTGGGTTTTGGCCAAGATCTATCGAAACACTTTGAACACACTTTGATGTTTTAACGCCACGTAATCCAGCAAGTATGTTAAATTGTCACGTAACACACCTAAATTCCATCAGTAATTTAGGTAGACGAAACTGCAATAGCAGCACGAGCACTTCACCCCTAAGCCACAAGCACATCTCACTGGCAATCTTTCCCGGCTTAAGGGTAGAAAGTGATACCCTCGATTGATGTTAACTTAGCAGATATCGATTGTGTCGAAGCGATGAGCCAATGTAAAGACAAGCTGTAGGTGTTGAGAGGAATCCAGTTGGCCGAACCTCACCCCCGCATGCCTCTAGCTTCACACCTGTACAATGGAGTTCATAGACGTTGAACGTAAGCTTAACATCTAATCCGATATTCAACTTGTATTAAGGTTGCGTTCAGAAATGGACCCCAACTCGACAGCAAACCCCTCTTCATTTGCCGTCTAAAAACAAAATTACAGTTTGTTTCTAGTAGAATGGAGGTTAAGGTAGTTGGGACCACGAAGCATGGTTTCGCTGCTCGGCGACTTCATAGTGTTGTCTGTAGGCAATTTATTTATTTATTTTCCTTTTTTTGAATGAGCATTTTGTACAATTCGTATCGGTGTGTTAGCCGCCATTAGTGACGACTTTGCTTAGAACTTATTGTTTATATGCTAATGATGATGTATTTTCAGGATGGAGCTACACAGACATTGATTGTTTGTATTTATTAAGTGTTTTACAGATTAATTTAGGTTCTAAGCCTTATATAATGCGTAATATATATTAAATAAGTTTGTAAGTAACTAGAGTACAAACTTCATCTTAAACTGTAATGTAAGCTATAAAAATATATTAAAATTTATTGTAAAAAATATTTAATAACTAACATCCTAATTTTTATAGGGCTGTAATTACAAAACCCTCAACTATAAGAGCTAATCCTATTTGAAAAGAAAAATGTTCATGTACATTTAGCCTACTTATAAAAAACTATTTATTTTACAAAAAACAGCAAACAAATTATATTTCCTCACAGTATAACTAAGTACAACTCAAGCATGTAACCATTCCAAAAATAAACAGTAAAATGTCAATTAACTTGCCTTAAACTATCTTTAAATTGTATTTAACGTATTATAATCTAACTGGTGTAATTCCTAAACCTGACAAACCTTTGTAGCAAATCTGAACACTTGGAGTTTTAACATTTCCTAAACTAACGCTGTGTAAAGTGGTATTCAATGTAAACATGTGTACATATGACTAACATGTAGTGCTCCTCGCTTACTCCTCGCTTCACCTCCCCGCAGATCTGGGTCGACCTCCGGCCAACCTCTAGAGGAGGTTGTCCGGAGGGTCCGAAGCAGTCGCTGACGCCCTCCCATGTTTCAGGGCCCCCAGTGGAAGTCGGAGTCACCATGTATGTCCTCAGCATCAGTTCGGTCTCCGAAGTGCTGATGGTACTAACTCACAACACTGGCGTCACTAGAACTTTGACTTTCAAGTGTTGTTTATTTGTTGGTCGTTGTCCGTGGTGTGCCCCACCTCCCTGTCCGAGCTTCGTCTCACGATTTTGTTGTTTGTTCGCTGCTTTCCTTCCATTCCTTCCTTCCTCTGGGGTGGAATGAGAGGCATTTTCAGGGAAATGCATGGGAGTATAGTTGTTGACAATTGGAACTTTAAACCTAAAAACTTTATATTTGACACATAAAACATGAAATATTGAAGTTTTATAGCATTGAAAAAAGTATAAATCGATAATACTTCATAACTATTGCAGTAAATATTAAACATAAATTTGAACACTAATGAAACTTAATCCACAAGGCATTGATGTCGAAGTGAATATCAACTATACGAGTTCCTTTAGAGGTTAGATCCTTCCCTTGACTAATTTTGTTTTGGAATTTTGCAGCCCATTTCACATGTTGTTGTAAGGGAACCGTACGGCGTTCCACATCTGCATGGTCGAATAATTTTTGTGAAAATACCTCTTTGGAAAATCTCAGTGTGACAGAACAAAACTCTTCAGATTTTCTCGAAAGACGTATTTCCATTTCTACGTGTGTACTGATATTAATATTGTATATTTGTAGTTTTGTTGTCATTGTTGGGTGTATGTCTGTACATTCAGTTCCATAAGTCATGGAACCCACTAAGCCTCATGGTGAAGCACTCATTCTAAAGTTTAGTTACTCATGACTAGTACTGTATGTTCCACGTTCAGTGACAGTGGAACTGAATGTGGACAACATCACAGGTCGCTAACAACATCACCATGATCGTGATTCCAGCAGACGACACTGCGCCACTTCAGCTACCAACCTCTATTGTTGTGTATTGACTAATTCTGACGTAGTCAACTGTTAAGCTGATTTTAACAAAACCTCATTTTGGAAATTTAACACTGTGTAACAAATTGTGTACACCATTCGTTCTCGTGAGGTTTTGTTGATCGAATGAGTAGATTGCCACTAGGAGGCCGCTGGTGGTTCAGCATGCGGCATGGCAGGCATGAGCATGGGCATGGCATGATCTGTGACGTAGACGACAGCTTTGTAGTGTAGTTGTAGTTCTATTTAGATGTAACTAGTTTTAACACTATTATAGTTATTAAAATAGTTGCTTATAAGATTGCTTTAGTATTTAAGAGTGTTAGGTAGGTAAGGTAAATCTTTAGGGGTTCGAATTGCTTTAGGGCATTTCAACAGCTATTTAGGATTGTTCTTTCAATAGATAATGTTTTGCTAAGGTGAAAATGTAGGGGAATAGGCATGAATTTAGTTGGATACGTTAAATTCAACAGTGAAATTCTAGCTTGTAGAATCGATAGTGCTTAAAATGAGCGCTTTGAATTAGTGTTATGAATTTTAAATATCTGTTCATGCCTATCTATACATTATATTACAAATTGAAATACATCTATGATATGTATACAGTAATTTTTAGCTGAAACATGCGGTTGTACAACATTTAATTAGTTAACATTGCATATCTCAATGATGGTGATATTAAAATAAACTGTTTATAAACAAAAATATACTGATTGATACTGGAAATCTCCTCAAAGTTGCATTGTTTGTACGTCCAATAGTTTTAAAGAAACTGAGTATAATCATTGTCTTTACCAAGTGGAACTACAATTAACGTGAAGTATGTCAATTTTACTATCACTCAAAATGTTCAATAGTTTTCACGGATTGAGTGGAGTGAATAAGTACTGGTAAAAAGTAAACCTACGTCGAAAAATAACAATGGATCATGAAAAACACTTACTAAATGCTGATAAAGAAATTAGGGAGACAATAATTAAAGCGACGTTAAGAAATTGTGGGTTAAACATGCTATGAAAATAAGATGTTTATTGCGACTTAACCAACACATTATATTCCTTACTCGAAATATAATAAACCGAATCAAACCAGGATTAAGTGATGAGAAAATTACCTATTTCAGGTGACTGAGTCAATATGATACAGCGGCCAACAGATAAATATATCGTTTATACATGATTTATACTTACAAACAAACAAAGATACAAATTTCACCGTAATGAAATCCCACAGGGAATTGAATTATGATAAATGTTTGAAAATAAAACATTGATTGAGATACAACCCTCACATTATTGTCTTTGTTTACACTTTTACACCTTCCAAATTCTTGTAAAACCTTTTCAAATTACAGAATAAAGTCAGGTGAAGAAAATCAGCAACTTCAGACAGACTAAAGATTAGTAAGCAACCACTAAAAAAGTATTACAGGCTGTAAAACAACGTACATTTTACACTAACAACCAAAAAAGTAAGAAATTTCGACGTCACAAAACTATACAGGGATTTCAGTTTAAGATAAATGTTCGAAAATAATTTCACTAAACCTCACATTTATTTTCCCACACAGTTTTCCTCTACAAATTCCAGTATAAAGTGAGGTGAAAAATCAGCCATTTTAGGCGACTGGCTCAAGATAATAATTAGTAAGCAGCCACCGGAGACTCTTCAGACGTCCATCGTTAGTCCACCCTTAGCGCCTTTACTTGAAATGTCGTCACAGCGCACCCCCCTCGCACCCCCTTCCACCCCTTCCACCCCACACAACCCCCTCTAGGTCTCTGGAGCATCAGTTAGGCGTCTCCGAGTGTGAGTGATTATTTAACATGAGGGATTGGTGTGATTCTTCAATATCATCTCCCTCTCTCAACTTTGTCGACAAATATTTACAAACTTTTATTTTTGCAAAGTACAAAATCCTATTTTTAAGATCCTGTATGTGTTACAGCATATTCTAATCAATGTGGACTTTGCTTAATCCGGAAATCCATTTGACAGAGTTTCTAAAGACTCATACAGCCAAGTATTGCACAGTTTATGGTTAAGTAGTTTAGTGTTTTTTATTTCCCTTTACTCTGTTATAATGGTGGTTTGTGTGATGTATACTATTGTATATACAATAGCTTATCTTTTCAGTTAGGCTTAGTATCAAACGTTTGGGTAAACTACAGAAATCAGTAATTAAGATAGGTAGCGTAATATGTCGAGAACCCATTGGATTATGTTTATTTTTATTTTTTAAACGGTACACAATTGAAATAGAAATGGGATGTCTACAAGTCAAGTTGAAGGTTTAAAACGCAACAAAGAGAAAAACACTGAGGATTTTTCGTGATCGTGTTTGTTTAAAAGTTCGAGTATTCAACAGAAATTAGTAATTTACATCACCTTACTTGTTCAGTTGCTCACTTCAAGTCCACTTTTAAGATTGGCTACAGCTCATGGTAATAGGGTATTTACTTCTATGATTAGTCTCAGAATCAATATACAACAATAAGAACAATACCGAGGATGTTTTACACTTTTTTCTGTCCCAAAACTTGGCGTATTTGACAGAAATCCGAAATTAACAACAGCTTACTTTAACTACGTCAAAGTTATTCTAGAACTCATCTCAAATTCAACATGACGATGGGATGTCTACTTCGTTAATCGGTACTTTGATATAATACCGACCACACATGTTAAAACCTAACCTTACCAAACCTAAGTGGGGACTATGGTTTAGGCTAGTTTAGGAAGATTTTTTGAATCTAATTAAAATCTTATTTGGAATCCGGTGTGTCGGTGTGGTTAGTATCATAACAAAGTACCCAATAATCAAAGGCTTAACACAACAATAAGAACGTGGAGGATGTGTTACAGTACTTTGATTCTCAGGGGTAAAGGTATCGGTTAGGGAAGGCTGCTCCTGCCCACTGATGAGGGCCGCACTGCGTTCCTGGAGTTGAGCCAAGCTCGCCGAGGGTTCTTAATTTTCATTTTAAACTCTAAAATATATTTCACCCTTTATTTACCTTCTTTTATTCGAATACAACCTTTTTCCCAAGAAGCTACAACACTTGTGTTTAAATAATCACGAAGGGAAGAGAAGTTAAAAGGCTTTGGTGTATTCAATAAACAATTTGGATTTGTTACTAGTTTGTTGGTTAGATATATTTGTGAACATAAAAGTATTGGACATAAAATTCTTATAGAATTTTATTAGCTGAGAATGAGAAACTTGAATTTAACCACCTAAAGATTGTGGTGATGTAAATTAGTGATTTCTGTTGTATTCAAGAACTAGTTAGCCATAAAAACTTAAAATGATGATTTACTTTATGTGTAAAAATATATATAAGAGTAGCACATGCTGTTCAGAGCTTATTTAACTATGTTTTGATCTAATGGAAACGTGGCTACATGAGTTACATACTGTAGGTGGGATGTCTATCATAGTACCCGAAAGTCAATGATATTGTTGAGTTTTTTGCTGAGTTGTTTTATGATTTAGTCGAAGGCTTGCCGGACTAAATAATAAAAAAAGTGATGGCGTTGTTACGCTTCCTTGTGTCACCCCAAATATCATTGCAGTACACTATTGTAGTGTACCAGCTCAACCATGTAGACATACTAATTCAAGGTTTAGCAGAGAATGCCAACAAAAAACTGCTTGGCAGTAAAATTGTACTTATAATTTATGTATCGAATTATTGTGTTATTAAATTGTTTACGTACAATCAATGCAACATTGAGGAGGATTTTCGTAATCGAAACTAAGTTCAGAAGCTGTTAAGCTCTTATTTAACTTTTGTTAAAGCTATTTAATAGGATTTGTAAACAAGAAAAAGGTTTATCAGCAAAATTTGTATATCTATAAACAAGAAATAAGAAACCCGCAAATTTAATAGGTCTTGAAAACAGGGTAACAATCAATTAAAATAAAATTAGTTTATCGTATAGAAGTACTTATTTTGAAGTTAGCTTTTAGTATTTTTTATTTCTGTACGATGAAGTACACATAGGAAAACCTATGCAGCTTTTGGAGTATAGGTAAGAGAAGTTTAGTTTTGTGAAAGGAAGGCCAAGCACATTTATTTTTAGCACATTTAATCCGAGCTAAACATATGTTTAAAGCTTATGTTAGAGCATGTGCATTTGACATTATAAAGTTAATAGTATTTTTAATAAGTTTACAAATTTTAAATACTAGATTATTGATGTAAAATTCATTGGATAGTATCAAAATACCTTAAAAAATTAGAGTTGATAATCATTAAACCGATGTTACAATATTGGTAAAATACAAACTACAAAAATGATTTGAATAAACGTTCTTCTCTATTGATTTACACATTATCAGGAGAAAGTTTTGGAATATCCTTAATTCAGTAAATTGCACTAAATTATTGTAGCATTGATATGTAAATAAACTTAAACTGAACAAAATGGCAACGATACGTCCAACGTATATTTATAAAATCAATACATTTGGGCTCATTTTAAACTCTTGTTGATTTTTAACAATGTAAAACGACTCCTCATAAGAACTTATTTTGAATTCGTCTAGGTATGAGAAAGAATACATTTTCAGTAGGTTATAATTCTGATCAAGCTTAAAACAGAAAACTCTACCAAAGATAACAAGAATAACAAAAACAACAAAATAAACAATAACAACTATACCACATGGAAATACTAAAAAAAGTAAAATTTAAATGATTCTATGACTTATACAATAACAATAATAATTGTCAAAATAATAATGCCTTCTCTTTTATATTTACAAACTAATCATACTCCTTAGTTACATTAACCTATGATTACTTATACTTAACCTCTTAAGTATCACTTTACACTTTACCTCTCTAATGGTTTTCCTTCTTCAGGACTTCACGTTGGACTTCTACTTCCGACAGTTCTGGACGGATCCTCGACTGGCCTTCCGGAAGAGGCCGGGGGTGGAGACGCTGTCCGTGGGGTCGGAGTTCATCAAGAACATCTGGGTGCCGGACACGTTCTTCGTCAACGAGAAGCAGTCCTACTTCCACGTGGCGACCACGAGCAATGAGTTCATCAGAGTTCACCATTCGGGCAGCATCACCAGAAGCATACGGTGAGTTTGAATTCCTTGCAGTGTGGATGACTTGGTGCTAGACTCTATACCTATGCTAGACCTGAAGTTGCAGCATTACCACTTGGATAAAATACATTAGTGGATTGGCGGTATTTGAACGTCGGGGACCAAATTCCTGCGCTTTACTAGACCAGCTCACTAATGTGAATGACTTTACTAAGGCTTCTTCGGATGATGTAGAATGTCAGGTCTTCGTCTTCTGGAGATCTCTGCGGCGGTGAACTTTCTGAAAAACTGGTCGAATTATCGTATGTCTTTAGTCGATTCCGCACTCAATTCCAACTCAGTTGTAGATTGCCTTGATAATGGTGGCTACAACGCTTGAAACTTCGATCAGTATTTTTGCCAGTTCAACGACTTCTCGTCTTGGAGATGTGGTCATATGACTTCCAAGATTTTGTTTTGAATGCAGTTTTATGTTTACTCCAAATGTTAAAGGTTTTAACAAGAACTTTTTAAAAAGATTATGCTTTTTATTTGATTTTCTTTTATTGTTGGATTGCTTATTGCATTTTGGCAGGATTTTTGGCCTATGGACCAATAAAATAAGTACCCAAAATCTTCGAGGAAAATAATATTTAACCATTGTAATCCCCTAACCCCATTCAAAAAATAGTAACTCCCTACAATTGCTGTAAAACCACTTACATTTTGCATTGGACTCGAAGTTTTGTAAGGTTTTAAGTCTAAGGCTTAAAACTAAATTATTAAAAAAAAAATGGAAATGGAAATCACCATATTTACTCCCCCCCCCAAATAGAGTCCCCTCTTCAATGTATGGCCACTATACCGTGTTATTGACTAAATCACTTTTAGTCGTCCTAGATCTTTGACATTTAGCAGCATTGCAGAATGGCGGTGGTAGTTGAATGTACGACCTCAGGAACCATCTAATTTCATGAAAGATAGATATAGAAAGTTACTATTTACATACAAAGAAGAGCTATGGTCCTAATAACCTAAATGTTTGAGAAATGTGGCATTTTAAAATTCCAACCCCCCCCCCCCCATTAGGTATAGAAACCCCATAACCGTTTCTTAACCACTTCTTTAGTTCTTGCCCTCCATTTCCCTGCTTAGTATTCCTATACGAATTTTACGAGCTTTTCTGTTATGAACCATCATAAAGCCACTCTTCTTAGGATCAGGTGACCTTTTCTATTGGTTAGAAAAGTAAGTTAAAACAATGCAAAGTTGTTCAGTGGATCATTTTATGTTTTTCAGTTGAATAAATTTATTTTGAGATTGATAAACTATTGTGTATATAAAAATCCTTTTGTTTTATAGTGGGAGATAGGGGAGGAGTGAGAGAGATAGAGAGAGACCACATGACCTTTATACGGTCAGCCAACAGGGCCAATTGAATTATCCTTTAGACCAGCTTCCCCTACTTTGATCCAATGATAGATGCATTATGTACCAATGTGTCAGAACCGACCGAAGGAAATTTAGTTTGCCTTTATCGTATTAGCATATTTCCTGTGAAAGGAGGATGGTTTAGTCTGCGGCAGAAGGAAAGGTTGTGGTCTCTTAGAGTGTATAACAACTCAAATACCGCTAGTGTCTGCAGCTAATTTTAATTTTATATTCAATAGAAAGATCATTGGGCGAGTGCAATCATTAAATAATGATATACTATCATTTGCAGCAAAATTGAAGATTTTTAAGCTTATTCGATGAGCAAAGACAAGAAAATCAGCGTAAGCTTTTAAGCCCCAAACGGTGTACGACGTTATATTAAAGCATATTTAAATACAAATAGGCTTTGGACTTTAAACTTGTTTAGAAAACGTTTAATCAATTTATATTCTTACACTTGATTACGAATTCTTTCTTGATTTAAATTACTGTTTCGTGACACTGTTCACCTGGTTGGTATTTTAGTTGAAAAAAATCCATACATCTAAAATCAAATGCATACAAGCTCATTTCATACAGTATGTAATGTATATCCTTTATGCATCATCGTATGTATGTGTCCTGTGATCACGTAAAAAGTTGTGATTAATCTTATCCCGTTATTTGAGTCCATTATTCTTTGACATCAACGAATCAAACAATAAAGATTCGCAAACTAAAACTAAAAAAATCAACCAACAATGAAACGCACAATGAAAGTACGTTTTGCCGGGTACTTTCAACGATATCCGAGATATTAGCATAAGATGTGTATTAGATCTATGATATTACAAAATAAGATTTATATCTTCAACCTTATAAGATTCATTTGATTAGTTGGTTACCATGAAAATATACAGTACATGACAGTGTTATTTTACACTATAACACTGCATCATTTACATTTTTATTATTATTAAATAGAATGTTATGTAAAACTTTGTGGTTTCCTTAGTTATTTAAGGCAATTTATTTCATCGATGTAATTTTGATCAAGTAAAATAGGAAAAATTATTTGGAAATAGTAGGTGGCTTGAAAACAGATTTAAAAGACTTTCTGGTAGGTTATTGGGGAAAGCTGCAAAATTATGTGGTTTGAGGGGAAGTTCCCCCACTATTTTTTTAGATATATGTTGCAGCTGATGGAGGTTTTTGCAAATCTCAGCTGTTGAGCTATTGCGTTAAAGGTAGGATCAAGTTGGAGAGGATGGATTTCTTCCCCTAAAACCACGTAAGTTTTGTGACCTAAGCATGGTTTACTGTACAGTTTAACACGGCCATCGTTTAGACAAAGAAAAAAAAGAGTTAGGGAAAGGGAGTGAGACGAGATGCTGAGCTGAGTGTGTTAGCTAGAGCGAGACAGGAAGCGGAAGGGGCTGAGGACAGGGAGACCACCTCCAACAGAGGCAATAGAATTATCTCGGAGTGGCCGTGACTCAATAATGGACATTGGGCTTCAACATACGCACTATTGCATTTGACAGAGCATACACTAGTGTATATAATGAAATGTCTACTTAAATTTACAAGTTCAACAAGGCCAATCATTATTTTATTTTATACTACTTATCTTACCACTTTAGTCTCAAGAATGGCTTGTATTGGAGCGATTTCTCAAGAACGGAGAAAATTATTACGAGTTAGGTTAAAGTCAAGTGATTAGGGGTATTTGAACATACAAATTCAGGAAATAAAACCCCAACACTTAGTAGCACCCTCGCAGTCTGTACGAACAATGATCAAAACGTTTATAGACTTTAAACGATAATTGGATAAATATTTCAAATAATCAACTACCATGATAGTTAAAGCATGTTTTACTAGAAATTAATTAAGCTCAGCATTTAAAAATAACTGCAATGGGAATGAAAATTACCTTCCTAGTTCGACACATGTCCTTAAGTTTCTAATTCGTTTGTACTGTTTTAAATGCTGCCTTAACACAAAAAATAGTGATCGGATATTACAACAACACATCATCTAACAGTTAATCTGTTTGGAAATCACTAGGCAATCACCACGATGACGTCAGAGGCTTCGGTTCTAATTTGCCGCAGACTGGAGAAGTGATATTCGCCTATAATTATCAATGGCGGGCGGGTGATCACTCTATAACCGTGTTAAGTCACTTCACTGGATCGCGATTAGCAATCGCGGCTAACTAACCATTACACCAGCCAAGCGTTCGTCTCGTTACCTACCAATTTCGTCTTCTAAATTTTGTATTTTTTTTTGTTATTTATATAAGTTTTTTTAAGTTTTTTTTTTGTGTGGATACAGCGAAATAATGGTGGATGGAGAACAGAGTGGGGTGCTAAATGATATATTTTAAGCTCCAGATGTGTTTGCTGAGGAAAAACACGTGTCTCAGATGGACTGGAAATGAAATAAAGAGGGAAGATAAAGCTATGGTAAAAATAAATGTGGAAGGAATCCCAAGATAACATGAGACACCCAGGACGACGAAATAAGAGGTGGAAAGATGAAGTAATAAAGCCCTGAGATTGATGAGAGCTAACAAAGAAGATGAAGAGGATCGTAGTAGGTGGTGGATGAAGTTGTTGATGCAAAATATCTTTTTCAGCATCAATGGCTCTAGGAGTAAGAGTAACAATAATACAAGTACTATTTGTTGACCATACAGCCTAGACAGTCCTAGATAGACAGCTATAACTGAAAAAAGTGTGAACATAAATTGTACGGCGTGGTTAAAGCTATGGTTCCACAGACTGCGGAACTTCCGCTGTGCGACAATAATCCGCGGAAAATTACGCAGCGTAAATCTGGAGGGGGTGGTTCCACTGACTGCGGAAATAACGTTGCGGAAATTCAGTTCTGTCCAAACTAGCGACGAGTATGGAACACAAATATTTACCATAAATACCATTAAAAAATATAAGTGATATTCAGACTTTATTTTTAATTGTGGTTATTTTTATTGTCAACTGATGTTATACCTAGTTTTTAAAAATCACCTTATTAATTTTTTATGAGGATGGTGATAGTAAACATTAATAAAATAACAATTTGAATTTAAATTATAGTTTTATTGATACACGAATAAAAAATACAAGCCCCAAAAAGAATAAGGTTATTGAAATAATATTAGGAAACTAAATTATCACACTCTTCTCCGCTGGCGGAATCCGCACTGCCACTGCTCTCAGACCAAAATGATTTGTCCGCCATGCGGAACCGAAAATTCGGGATGCGGAAACGCACTTTAGTGGAACCACACACATGGGAACTCCATTAAACCAGCGTCGTTGTAATTCCGCAGCGGAAAAAAACGCACCGCACGGCGGATATTCCGCATCCTGTGGAACCATAGCTTAAAACTGTGTAGTTACCGCCATGTCTAGATAGATCGCAGCACTAATCCTCAAAACCTCATACCGTTCAGGGGAAAATATCTGAAATTTGAAACATGTATGCTTACAGGAAACGATAGTGAGACTTGAACCGTTGAAACCAAATAAAGTAACACGGAGATTCAGGGTCGATTAAAATTAAATCTAAATCATTACCTGCCTAGCATTTATAGATATTTTTTTAGACTTCGTGACCGTCAAAAATGCATAAAGGGTATATAAACATACGTTTTGTTTTATAAACCGTTCTTTCAGCTGAATGTTAAACAATTAGTCAAATAGGTTTTTGGCTGGATATAATAAGAATCATTATTTTGTATTTTTTTATAGAAATTGATAATATTCTAGCTAGGGAAAAACATCAGAGTATTTGAGACTTTAGGAATATAAGATGCATTAATGTATTCCTTATAAATAACTTCTTGATCAGCATTGTACGTGTTATTAAATTTACGGAAAGTAAATAAAAGAAACGTCTTATAACACTTAAAACATATATTTACGCTTATACTGTTACTCACAAGACGGTAAATATACAAAAAAGATATTCGCCTATTGGGTCTGATGATGATTGGAGTGTCCAATCGAAATCGATCACCACTTACCATCTTTTTTTGTATATTTACCGTCTTGTATAAGCAGTATAAGCGTAAATATATGTTTTAAGTGTTATAAGACGTTTCTTTTATTTACTTTCCGTATTCCTTATACTAACATAGATAACATGAAAGGCCCTAATCGAATATGGCTATAATGGAATATGTATGGCGCCATTTAACTGCGGACCAATCATTTACTTTTATCCATGCAACTCTGTATTGCCGCAGGTTGACGATCACTGCGTCATGTCCCATGAATCTGCAATACTTCCCAATGGACAGACAGCTCTGCCATATAGAAATAGAAAGCTGTGAGTATCTAATGTAGGTTAGACAATGTTAACTGATTATATAAACAACTTTGAGTATTTAAAATAATAAGTACAGAAAAAAAAAACTCAAGTAATTAATTACGAAATACAATTCTCTTTTATGTGCAGCTATTAGTTTGGAAAATATAAGAAATAGTTGAAATTTCTTATTTTCATACCTAGAGAACCATGAATTTAAGTCATAATACATTATTTAACTTCAGACCCATTAAATTGGTTACGGACAAAGTTCCGCATTTAATATATCATTATAGCTAACTATACATTTAGTTTGAAGACCTGTCTTCTTATAGGACTGTACCTTCCTAGCACTGCACCGCGCACTACCATACTCTCACTTTAAAACCTGATATAACATAGTTATAATAGGTTAATCGATTTGACCCTAAAATAATCTTCTCGCAGTAGTCAGGATTTGCAGTAAAATCCTGACTATTAATTAGTAAATGTAGAGAAGACCAATTAGTAAATGTAGAGGTAAAATGTCACTATAAATTTTATATGATCTTTCCAGAATGTTAAGACATATACAAACACAGTAAAGGTACTTTTTTACAACCATTACTTTCGAATAATTTAGATTACTAAATTTAAATAATAAACAGCCAACACGTATTTCACCAATTGTACACTGTAATATAACCAATGCTTAGCCTTAAAACTCATTCAATACAACACTGTTATTGTTTGAATGAGTTTTGGACTTGATCAAAGCCTTTCCAAGATGTTTTACCCATGTAAATGTCTTAACATTCTGATTGTACTGTTCAAATTTTCATTTAGAATTAAGAGAATAATTTCACCTATCATGTGTGTCATGCTTCACTAATAGCGAGTGGTCTCTAATTCTCTGTAGAATTTTCTATCCATTCTATAACCAAAGAAAAAGAATATATGGATGCAGACAGTGCAGTAAGCGTGGTTCCTTAAAATCATTGACGTCTATCATCTTCATTTATTTCTCTTTGGTATTTGTTAAACCAAAGAATGAGTTTTTAAATATTGTATACACATCAGCCATCTCTCATTTTGTATTTTCTCCATCATTTACCTTTGGCATTTTCGAAATAATCGCCCAGAGAATTCAAGAGACTGTTCGCCTCACTCATTTCCATGTGTTCCATTCATTCCTCACATCCTGTGGTACGTCTTAATTTCGGTCTCCTTCCGGAACAGCACCGAGGGTCGTGCCCGAGGAAGGCAGACAGGTTTGCACACGTCAGGACTTGACTGGACGTGCTCACACCACGTGGTCGTGGTGATAACGTGACCAACCGGCGCGCGACACGACTGTTTCCAAGTCCTCGCTCCCACCAATAGGCTTTTACCTTTGGTTTTGTTGCGTTTTTCCCTCATGGCTTAAAAATATTGGCTCGTATTAGTGTGTTAAATTTGACTTTAAACTATTTTAGGTAAAAAAATCACAATTTTCTTGCTTTGGTAGGTAATAAATGTTGGTTCAAAATGTTGAACTCAAATTAAATATTTACATTCAATTACGATTATTGCCTTTCTTGTTTAAAAATTTTCAAATAAAAATTAGGCATTTGCCAGTCAGTTTTCAAGATATTTTCAGTGTGTCATGTGCACTTTTAAATGCAATAATAGCTTGTAAAGAAGATACATAAATAAACCAAACCATAAACAGATTGCTATTGACCGAATATTTGTGTCTAAAACTATTTTTAACACACAGAACAAAATTTCTGTCAATTTGTTTTACTAATAACACCAAGGTTTAAATTATGACAAAAATCTGTATGTTAACTTAGGAAATCGTGTTTTCAAATGAAACAGGTTTTTAGATGTATTAGTGCATCAATTAATTGAAATACCTAATTTATTTTTTATAACCAAGAAATACCTTCAGAGCATTTTGGAATATCGTAGGTTTTTAGTATATATATTATACTCATTTAACCTTTAAATAACTAGATAATCTAAGCTAGCGTAGGGAATACAAACACTAAATTAAGTAATTTACCTGAAAAGCCATGAGCAGCATGATTGCGAAGCATGCTTTTTTGTTGCCACTTTTTGGTTTTGCACTTGAGTTTGCACGAGTTGTCTCTACTATTAAGTTGTTCCCAATAAAGGCCACTCCAATACCTGTTCGATTGTTTTGCTTTTTTGCTCTTTTGATGTTTTCTCATACTTGACCTCTTCGATGTTTGGCCGAACCAAGACATTTCAACCCCTGAAATGCGGGTGTGAATGGCCAAACCAATACACAGTCTCCAGTTTTGTTGATGGAAAGAAAACAATGAAATAGTTTTTTTTAAATACATTTCCTGAAAGAAACTTTTTCTAAATTTGAAATATATATACAATATATCCTAAATGCATTGTGGCAAACTATATTTAAGAAATTGTGTGCATTAAACATTTCGAAAAATTTGTAAAATTTGGACTAAGCTAATTGACAGTTTGTAAGAACATTTTTCCCCATTTGTTGAAACTGTAAAAAAATAACTTGAACGTTATAGTTCAATATAAAATTATTTTGATAAGATACAAAATTTTATACTTAAATACTCAATATGGCTTAACATAGCCATTACACTGTTTTAATTAAATTCATTGGTATCCCAATGAAGAGGGTAAACAATTTATAAGATGTATTTTCCTAACAAAATCTAAAACAAACAATTACTTTCACCATGTATAAATAAATACACAGTATCGTTATGTCTCAATTGTTGTAATTGTATAAATTATATACAGTTTTAACTTGAACAAATAAAAAAATTATTACGTTAAAAAAAACTAAAGGATGTTTATTTACATTTTAAATCAAATACACCTTGTCAAACATCTTGTGCAAGCTTTTATACCAAAAAAATACACTCAAACTAATTACAAAACACAAAAAATATAAATTCCTGAGAACACAATTTTTCCTCTTTTCCTTTTATGTTCGCAATGTCTCCAGTCCCACGGAGTGGCCTACCCCTCCCGCAGGTCATAATGCCAGTTAAACTGTTGTCTGATTTGTCTGTCAAGTGCAGTTGGATACACTATGCGTGATATTCGATACAAGTGGAACTCCGGGTTCAAATCTGTGGGTATTAGCAACGAAGTGCAACTGCCCCAGTTCAGAGTCCTCGGGCACCGCCAGAGGCAGACCGAAATTAACCTTTCCACAGGTACTAGTCCACAGGTATAGGTATGTGCCTGTAAACCTGACACGGATACAGGTATAGGTATACCTGACACAGGCCACCCTCACGTCGCTGATGACGTCATCGATCAGGTGACTTCTGTGACAAAGGGGTGGAAACGTGGTGAATTGTTTTGGATCACTTTTAAAACCAGACGTGTGGTTATCCTGTGGGGTAAGATGTTTGTACATAATTCCTTAAAGTATGGGTATTTTAAATAATTAAGTCATCGGGCATTCAAAAATCTATTCGACTTAACAAATTTTCTTTCATACCTAGAATTTATCTGTAAATCACTTCAAAATGGGATGTTAAATGGGAGTAAGTTTTGGATTGGAAATTAATTGAAGAAATTGTATGACCAGGTTTAACGTATGGTAATGCTATGTGGTTGATATTTGAACATATATTTTTAATGTATGAGCATTTCAAAAATTTTAATTGATCAGGCATTATCAAATCGATAATATTTACTTTGAGTCTCATATTTTGCATGTTTGACTTTGGAAACATCCCCATTGAAGGAATTAAATGTTTCACCTGTATAAATTTATAACTGTTTTGAATTATCTGTTCAGATAGTGTACTACCATTACAATCCTTTTAAGTTTTTCCATTCTACATGGTGGGGACATAATAGTGTTTTGGCTTTATTTACGTGTTAATAATTTACGTGTTTATAGTTAAAGATGCCATAAAAGTAAATTACTCTAAATTTTTTGGATAATCATCGTGATATAAATTAACACATAAATAAAACCAATTTTGACTGTTTTCAAACAAAATGTAAACCCCAAGGGCTTTGAAATCCAAAAATTCAGACCATACAAGTTTTGTAATTCTAAAAGGCATCCTGTTATCCCAACTGTCACGGGGGATTTTAATTCGTCCAATTCATGCCTACAAAATGACCTGTCAGTTATCAAACTCGACATGAATACAAATTTAGTTGTAAGTTATGGAAGTTGCCTGCATCGTATGACGTCATTTCCCGACTCAGTATCAGGAAATGCATGATGTTCATCACACCTCGCTCACACCCCCCGCCGAGGCGCCTTCTCGTGCCCCCCTAAATACCCCCCCTTTATTGTAGAGTCTTATTTTGTACATCAGTACAATAATACTAGTGGCTTGTAGGGGCAATAGCCCCTATAGGTCTATATTCTAGTAATTATTTTGTACAAATTATTAGTCTCATGGGTTACCCTACCTTGAATTATCGTTAAAAATTTGTGTTTAATATAATATTTATTACATACCCTGCATAATGCATTTTGATGTCTGCTCTGTTTAAAAAAAAATTCAAAAGGACTGTTCATGCAGTGTGTTTACAATATGAACTTTCTAATTATAATACCACCAAGGAACATTTTCAATGATAATCTTCATGAATATTAATTAAATATATATATTTCTTTGAATGTAGACAAATTCACTTCGATAAAACACATATAGATAATGTCATCCTCCAAATTGTAAAATGCTAATTCTATAACAAAATCTCTCTGAAAATAACATTTGTTGTATAGTAGGCCTATTAATCTTGGTCGATTCCTTGGTCTTTATTTGGTTCTAGTACTATTTTAACATCATCTGGCCGCTTAACCTGGCTAAAAGCAACATAAAGTTGTCCATGGGTTATTTTTTCAAATAGATGCCGACTTTTGTGAAGGTATGCGGGCCTCGCGCTTAAATTATCCTTTGACTATTACATATCACCATATGCTTTAAATAAAGTTAAACCACATGTTTTAAAGTAAACAAAGCAGACATGACCTAGATTTCCATGCTATTTAAATGTGAATTATTTTATTCCGTAACAACCTTTTGGTGCATAATTAAGAAAAATGAATATTTTTCCCCAAAATTTCATGCCCAGAGCTTTAAAATGAGGCCTCTCCCATCTTTCTACAGCCTCCCGTTCGCTCACAATTTCATTGTAAAATTTTGGGCTTACGGAATTAGATATATAGATTGTTTGGAATAATAAATTATACAAGAAAATATTACTGAGGTTTATACGTGAAAAATCCATTGGTTCTCGCAGTAATAAATGTAACTCGTCAAATGTAATTCGAACGGTATCAAAGTCATGCACAATTTTTACGTTGAAGCAGCGTTTCAAAAGGATGCTAAAATTAGCATCAGATTATGAAAGGTGACGGACGGGATTGAGTTTCTAGTCACACTCGCCGCGTCACATACGTTCAGAACAATCAGAACCCACAAATTAATTCTCGCTCCGGCCCTTTAAATAATCCTTAGAGGAATTGGAAATTGTCATCTTTAGAGTAGTGACGGAACAGTAGGTTATTACAATACTACTGGTAAGATGGTTATCTGTATCGAGGCTGGAAGATAAGCCAAAGTTACCTGTAATATGATTTTACCCAGAAGGCAACAGTATCGCAGTTAAATGTGACCGTGGAAGCTTTACATGGGTAGACTTTAGACTTCCGTGTCTGTTGGCACAAACAACCGAATGGAAATATCAATTATTCTATTTTTTCATTCGATATATCGTTTGGTTAGTTAGGTTGGGTTAACTTTACCGAACTAACCAAACAATATATCGAATAATCGATATATTGATCTATATTTTCGTTCGGTTGTTTGTGCCAAAAGATTCGGAAGTCTACCCCTTTACATTCAGCAGAAGATATTGTACTCTAGTTCAGGGTAGCTCTCGTGAAAAGCACTAACATTGAAATTTCCACTAATGCACTTTAAGCTCAAAAATTATTCTATTTCCTTTAGAAACAGTGTTAATTAAAAAACACTTTAAAACTCACCCCCCCCCCCCTTCACAATTCACACGAGAAGGTGCCAGGCGGGCTCACCCTGTCACCATGCAGCCTCCACCTTTGCTATGTGCAGTCTGTGCAATGTATGTGTGTGTACCACAGTCGGGTACACTATGCGGGACATTCGCTATAAGTGGAACGAAGGCCCCAACTCTGTGGGGGTATCCAATGAGGTGTCACTACCCCAGTTTAAAGTCTTGGGCCATCGACAGAGAGCTATGGAGATTAGTCTGACCACAGGTACTGTATTTCCCATGATCTATGTACTCTAAAGTAGGGTTAGTTCGTTAAGGATTGTGTGTCTTAAACAGTGAAGTGCCAATTTAGACATAAATCATGTGCTGCACTGTTGGGCAAGTTTTAAGGTATAAATAGTATTGTTGGTAGGATTGGGATAATCATAGAGTAAGCTTTTTATGTACGCAGGTTGCAGGTGTTATAGTTTTACCAAAGGTGATTCTAAACTTATAATTTCTCTAGTGCCAGGTGTTGGAGTAAAGCTCCCCTGAAGGTGCTAAGCTTAATACCTGTAGGTGCAAGGTGCTAAACCCTGTGCTAAAACCTATATTTTTACTGAGAATACTGAACATTTTTGAGTCAAAGTTCACCTGAAGGTGTTTATCAAGTGTAGATTAATGTGATGATGATCAACCTATATATTATAGCTTCCCCGAAGGAATTAGGAGATAAATTTGGAGGATGCTAGAATTTGATTTCCTTGAATGTCATAGATGCTAAGCTTATACATAGTTCTCTTGGGTGTAATAGGTGCTCAACGTAAACCTCTCCAAATGTGATGCTAAACCTACAGATTTGATGAATATGCTAAGTGTTAAATTAATTTCTTCCCGAAGGTTCTAAGCCAGTGTTCCTGTAGGTGTCATGGCTCTGTTAATGTTTTAATTTATACATTTTCATAGATTATTTTAGGTATAGATAGAGGTTTAAGATTTACTCCAATTTAAAGACCTCCTTATAACAAGTAAACAAAATATAAGACTTGTTTTGGGAAATTATCTAACAGGATGGGGGTTTTTAAGTACCTATTATATTTCATTTGAATTTGTTTAAGTCTCATCTATGAGCCGGCTATAGTAAAACAATGTCTTAAATACGTCAGCCATCAATATTGAGTAGCATTTCATCACAATGCAATACAATATTTTAGGTCATAAGTTATTAAAATATTAGACAAAAATTTACGATCCTCAAAGCAATCTTATGAAATAATGCACGATCAAAAACAATAAAAGGTGGCCGAGATTTAGTTATTAATCTAGACATACAAAAACCACTTTTGTTTCCAAAAAGTTGTGAATTGTCCAAAAATTTTGCGACATTCAATTGAACCACATTCATTCCGAATTCAGTTCCATTGTATCAGTTTTGTTGTCCCTGTACCTTTCCCACAGCATGTTGTGTGTTGTGGACATTAGGTTGAACCCCCAGTGTATTAGCGGCGGCATTTAACCCGGTGCTTTTTTACTGCCAAACCTTCCGAAAATGTCAAAGATAAATATTTTGTCCTAGATAGATTGTTAGTAACCCTTTTTCAGAACTGAACCGTTATTACCGCCATAAACATTATGTTTGTATTACCTCTAAAGGTTAAATACTCGGGTATAGTTAGTTTGTAAAGCTGAAAAAATTCAATCTACTTAGCATAATAATGCACCTGGGTGATTAAATGCTTTTTAAAAATCATCTTTTGTTAGCGTGATACATTTAAACATACAGGGCTTAAGAATTACAATAACTGTTGTTACAAACACAAATATGTAACTGACTAAATCTTACCAGACGTATAAGTGACTCATTTGATTCCGAGTCTTATCAAAACAATCTATTCATACAAGTGTTTTGATTACAATTTACATTTAGTACGTAACTACTCGTACAAGTTACTGGCTACTTTCCGCCATTTTGTGTTTTCTCGCAAAAATACTTTATGTACAATAAACCCTCATTAATCCGGAGCCAATTAATACGGACTTTGTCCAATCCGGACAAAATTCAGGACAACAGTCTGGACTTTGCCCTTTGACAATAGTTTTCACTAATTACATAAACCTACAACATTGATACGTAGTTTACAGTGTTTTAGTAGTTTAGTGATTTAAAAATTTAAGAATTGGATCTACACTGTTCATTGTTGCAAAATGTACATATGACATTACACAAGGGGTGTCGAAACGGTTCCTCAATATTTCTTCGTATTAAGTTTATTTAATCGGGATGGCAAACAATTTACTACTTGAAGTGATAGATTTACTGCATTGTGTGCATATAGGTACATTACATACAAAACAATATGCTAATCTATATTTCCTCAACCAAACATCTTTAAGGTGGTTTTTAATTAGAATTCTAACCTTTTACGTTAGGTTATATTTGGTTATGTAAGAGTACACAGCCTAAATCCCATGGACACCAAGATATTCATTCCATTTCATATACATGGAGAAAATATTCCTTGTATGTCAACAGTCTCCAGAGTATCAAGTGACTCGGCATGTCAGCGAAGAGTTTCAAAGAAGTGATGAGTGATTTCCCACTGATTTCCCTCTGATTGCTGATTGCTGATTGCACAAAGACTGAGTCAGCAGGTGCTTAGCGATTTACCAGACTCTGAACAAACTCATTCCCAGATGGCAAACTCGACTTTTCCATTGTCAAGTCTTTACAATTTTTATGTAGCAAAACTGTAATATTTCGAAACCATTTCTGCCACTAAGATTTGTAGTTTGGGTCGTTGTTTGAGTGTAATGGTTGAAAATTAATGGATCGAAAATGTAGAACTTATTTAATGATGATTAATAATTATTTTACTGACTACACTATTAATGATAAGAAAAAACATGAGTTTTGTATATTGAGATCACAAACAGTCAAGAATTGACCCTGTTATGTTAATCTTTGGAGAGAGACAAATCATGAATTCGATTTTTAAACTGGAAGGGTATAAAATAAAGTTTAAACATTTGCTAGTGCTCAAATGTAATAGAACAAACTCGTTTCTGGAAAATGTGTACATATAGTTTGTCTTGTAATACATTGATTTATGAAATATAGCACACGTTTGGTATTTCAAGTTTTTAACTATTGTTGATGAATTTCCTTTTATGTAGTTGAATAAAAAATATGAAAGTTAGTTTACTCTCTAATAGCCTTAAAAAAATCCTTACAGTCAGTATAAAAAAGTAAATTAAAAAATTCGGCAAATGTACTTCATACCAACCAATTAATTGTGTCAAACCACAACCTTGTTTATAATCATATATTATAAACATGAACTTATCAAAACTAGAGGTCACCCAGTGGTCGAAAACTCGACAAAAGATAATGTACAGAATTTTCTATTTTCATCCCACGCTGTAAATAAAAAGTGTGATTAGAGTTTCTCCATTTATTTTGATTTTCTGTTTATATTTCGTTAATACTTCGTCACCAGCATGGCAACCCTTACCATGGAACCTTAAGGCCCATGTTAATTTACCCGATTTTTTTTTACATTCATTAGTTGTATTTATTTTTTAGCCTATTTAAATTGTTTATTCTGGTCATCTGCAGGAAAATATATTTTTAACAGTATGCGTAGATTTCCCCTTAGATGCACACGAGCTAAGGAAAAATGTTTTAAAGAGATATGCTTGCCTATTAATATACAGATAGATCTTCATTACTGATCCGGATATGTAAAATATTACTGTGTTATTCCACTTCTGAGGGATGTGGTGACACTTTTCTTTGTGCTGGGATTTTCTAGTCACTATATAAAAAAAATAAGTCATATTGGAATGTTTGTAAATGTCAAACACATAAAAAACCTGTTCCCATCATTATCGTAACAATAGAACCACTCGCAGATTGGCGATCATATAATATTTTCCTATTAAAACGTATAACTCATATTATTCTCAGGGGGGAAATTGATCTCCTTATCTAGAACATCCTATATGTAAAGAATTGGTCATTTAATTCACGCAGATTGCGAGACATCCACTTGACGGATTTTGATGATTCTTTTTTTTATTTGAAGGTCATTTTGTGTAGAAGGTCGTGTCGGAGCCAGAATTTTAATTTAGACCTCAGGGCTCTGATCACGGAAGATCAAAATATTTCTAGATTAAGCTATTTTGGAAAACCATAAGCTTCTAAAGGGTTTTGGCTACTATGGTTTTTACTACTTACTATTTGACCCTACACAGCTTATTTGTGTGTGTAATTTGTGTAATTTTCTATTTTCTTTAAGAATTATGTATCTTGTATTTTTACTTTATGAACAAAGTACACACACCTCTTTGGTGGCGTTTGGACGTCTCTTCATATAGAAAACGGCTCATGCCTTATTTATGTAATCGGATATTTGATCTACGGAAGGTATCTCAATGATTGTATCAAGTACGTCAGTCATCAGATTAATCAAAGTTTTTACAGCTGCATTTCTAATTTATTTAAAAAAAAATTGCGCGAGCGAAGAGCGGGCCAGACAGCTAGTAAAAAGATGAAAAAATGAAAAAAAAATACACAACAAAATTAGTTCTTTATCATAGATCTATGCAAACAAATCGAGTGTTCATCACAAACTGTCAAGATCTCACCTTTACATAATCCTGTAATCATGCGGAATGAGTAGGCAAGTTTAAATACGAGAAATGTAAACAATACAATACTGAGACCGGTGAGAGGAGGGGGAAATGGAACCAGGTGACAAAGAACCACGGAGGGAAGGGGAGGTGGTTTTGAGGCTGCAAGCCTTTGATCACAGAAGTGAAACATAACAAAACAGAAGTCATAACCGAGATGGAGAAGTATTCGTTTTTCTTGCGTCTTGCGAAATTAAAAATCTAATAAATTATTACTGAGAAACTGCATCGGTGACGTATTTACTGTGTCTGATTTTGGGAATTCAGTTATAAGTGGAGTTATAGTTCAATTTTTGTTTTATTAAAATTCTTAAATATGTCAGTAGATCTATTATTGTGATTGTTCAATTAGCTCTATTACAATAAGGTTTGTGTAATGCAGCATTTTTTAACAATAGTTATGAGAATATGTGTTGCCGATGTTACAGTAGCCATCAAATTCAAATGGCTGTGTTAAAAGTATTTCAACCTTCAATAAAGTACGTTGCAATAAATTAGTGTAACATATTTCATTATTATCTTTAGAAATTTAAGTTTCTAATTCAACCCCTATATTTGAAAAACTGAAAATGGAATAAATACAAACATATTACATTACGCAACTTGAATTTCCAACCTTAAAAAAAGAGTCATTATAAATAATTAATACTCGTAATTATTAAAAACACTTATACTACTAATGTGTGTTTCTCATAATAGTAAACCAACTACCCAGTACTCTTTAGCATAATATATGTGAATCTAAGTGTTAATTTACTTTTATTTTGAACCTCTTCAGTTACAGGATCAATGAAACAATCGGAATACTTACTTATTATTCAAATTGTTAGGATATACTGTTTCAAGATTGCAGAACATTTTACGAACTGTAAGGAAAATTCTGATGCTGACAACTTGATGACTTTGGATAAAATTCTAAAAGATGTGTGTATTTACTTTACACAAGAGATTTAAATGAGCAAACTAATATTGTTTAGTTCGTGTCATGAGTACTTGAGCTGGTAAAATAGCTTTCCATTTTATTTTATTTTTTAAATTTTTTTTGTGTAATCATTTTCTAACTTAGAGAGATAATGTATACATGTTTCATAAACCATATTTATTCCATATTACTGAGTAGTTGTTATAACTTGTAATATTAAATGGTTTTAAATGCTTTTACATGTTTTACATGCTTTTGCACATACATGTGTAAACATATTTTTCTTTGTAAATTAAAACTTACCAAAACAGTACCAGCCTGTAAAAATCGGAATGAATAAAGTTTTGAAAAACACTTCAATTTTTTTATAATTATTAATCAGTTAAACAATGTGTTTTCTTAGGTATATGTTATGCCAGTCTATGACTTGTACATTTAAGAAACAATAAGACATGTAAACCAATTAAAACACCAGTCTAATAATAAAAACATTCAATACTATAAATTACTAGGCAAGTTGAACCACATAAATTAAATCTATTCGTGAAGAAAAGTAGCCTAGTTTAATTGGCAGCAAGTTATTATATAGTTTAACCTAAAAATATGTTAGAGGAAAGTAGTTTTTACGTAAAAAAAAACACACGTAATTTATATAAAAAAAAGCACTGAAAGAATATCTACTTCCATTCATTGCTTTATTCATTGTAAACATTTTTTTAATTTAAGAAATGCTAAATAATTTCAATTAAAAACGATTTCATTTTGTTTTACTTGTTCTACTTAGTGCTTATGTTTTGTAAACATAATAATTTTGCGATAAGACATAATACAGCATTTTCTTTATTTTGACACTATTCTTTGTATAGTATTTGTACTGTACATGAATAAAGAGAACTTGAATTGAATTAATTTTGTTTTATATTCTACTTGTGTGTAACTCATATGATTGCACTCTGGGCTACAACTAGCTCGTATACAGTTGAATTTTTGAGTGGTACGATCGTATATGATACCGTAGCCACAATTACAGTAATTCACTTACATCGGACGAACACGAACAAATCAGGTTAACCCGACGGCTGGCCACAATTACCCAGTGTCATTTTGTTTTGGTAATCTATCAATTACGTGTGTTTGAATATTAATGAAGTAAAAGTGCTTGCTGACTGATTGCGGAGCTCCATAGTTATCAGTTGCGCTTGCCTACCAGAGTGAACTTTGCCTATCTTTTAGTTGCCTATCTTTTAACTCAAACCACATAAAATATTCTGAAATACCCTATTGTTCAAATAAGTAGACTTATGGAAAGCTTTGATCCACCAGGTAACATTATTGCCATTAAACTAAATGTGATAGTTGATTGGCGGGTGGTTGCTTCAACCACTGACCAAGCTATATCCCCTTGCAGAAGGGGGTTTCCCTTAAAATACTTGACTTCGAATAAAGCTAGTTAATGTCAATCATATGGTTTTAAGATATTTAGTAATTTTATAGTCTCTTACTGTATTTTAACGCTTAGAGATATGTAGTTACTGGTACCGAGGAACTATACAAAAATAAATAATTTTGTTAGGATGTTATTTGTTTAGCATGTACATTTATATTTTTTAAATATGTATGAAATAGTATACAGGTCATATTGTAAGTGAATCGTATAATAATGTTATTGAAATGGATATTCTATTGAGGATACGTTCGATGACTATTTTTTCTGAAACTGGCTACGAATCAAAAATAAAAATGGGACTTTTATTCATGGTCAGATTTCCAATTCAATTACGCCACTCTTCAATTAGCACTGGCTAATCTTATGAATGTAACTGTACAGAACTAGGTAGAACCCCTTATGTATTTGATGTCAATACAATGCAATCCATTCATCTCTTGGGGTTGTTCTCAATAATGCTTACATTTTATTCAGGTATTGAATTTGGATAGTCTTTTTCGTATGTGTATCATAGTCGAAACATTAACTAGCCAATAGAAACTTTAACATATCTCTGAGATAGTCAAATCTGCAGAGAGCCTACAGAGCAGCCTCAATAGGCACTTCACCCTATGTAATCCACAATGACGTCATGAGTTCCCTCTAAATTGCCAAGACCTATCCAACCCCTAACCTCACTAACACTGCTCTAGGTAACTACTCCCGTCTGGCGTGCGAGATACAGTTCGTCAGGTCGATGGGCTACTACCTGATCCAGATCTACATCCCCTCCGGCCTGATCGTCATAATCTCCTGGGTCAGCTTCTGGCTGAACCGGAACGCCACCCCTGCCAGAGTGGCCCTTGGCGTCACCACTGTGTTGACCATGACCACCCTCATGTCATCCACCAACGCCGCGCTGCCTAAGATATCCTACGTCAAGTCCATCGACGTGTACCTGGGCACGTGTTTCGTCATGGTGTTCGCGTCACTGTTAGGTGAGTGGATTTTGCCAGGCAGTGGATATGGTTAGACGTGTTGCAGGGGAAGTTCATTTCATCCCTGAAGCAAAAATTACCTGCGTCAAGGAAATGGTGTGCTGTTTCATCATGTGTTAAAAAACAGCTGGCATCTACGGAAATAATCAGTTACTTTCGCTGAGGTAGAGATACAACTGAAGGTAGAATCAACCATCTCATTGGCTCATGGCTTTGTCCCACAATCCCCTATTCCGTCCCTAGTTCCAATTACTAAGTACACTATCCCTAGTACACATGGCGACCACCGTGTCTCAATTCTCTCATTCAAGGCTACTTCTCGCTGTATTTCTAGCTCTGTGGCTACCTTTTTACCAAGTGATGTTCAAATTACTTTGAGTGAACCAAACATTTCATTTCTTGTCCTAAAACAATACCGTTCCTACCCAAACAGTTCGTTTCCTGTCTCAAACTTCACTTTTTCTGACAGAAAAAGAAAAGTTACTTTTACTGTTTACATGCTGGTCCAAACATAGTTTTTCTTGCCTTCTTCTCTCTCAAAGGTGGTAGCACTATATACTGTTTGTAAAAGATTTTCCACCCAATATTTAACTACTTTATTGCATATAAAAAAAGTTTGTCAATTTCATTAGGCTTTCAGAAGAATAAAATGGAAAACTACATCAAATACGAGTCAAAACTTGACTTTAATAGCTTCAAGTGAATTATTTAATAATTTATGTTTTCTGTGTTTGGCAAAATGCTAGTATTTCAGTATTTTAGTTATTGTTGAATTTTGGAGATTCCAACTAATAAATAGGTCTATCTAATACGAGCATGTTTTTGCAGAGTACGCAACAGTGGGGTACATGGCCAAGAGGATACAGATGCGGAAGAATAGGTTCCTGGCGATTCAGAAGATCGCAGAGAAAAATTCGAAACAAGGGTTGGAGGGGCCGCACCCCCCTGTGCCTGGAGACCCCTCAGATCACCCCACACTCCCCAAACAGACTGTGAGCGTCGCATCAACCCTGCGACACAACTCCAAAACATGCGCTGTAAGTTACACATATTTTTTTTTTTATTCGTTAACAGGTTCTTATACAACAGTAATGCAATCATTAACCACAGAAAAGTAAGCAACAGAGGATACACTTAAGTGGTGTCTAGCATCAGTGCTGGTGTCTAGGGAAAAGTCCAACACCGACCCTGGCCATCATGTACTACAACCTCAAGGTGGAGGAGGGCAATGTGCCCTGTGCTACAGAAATTACCGCACAATACTCTCCGTTAGGGCTCTTGTTTGCTCACCACAAGTATATTTCCCACAAAACATATTATGGAAACGCACTGTTGTCCCATAAGAGTGTTTCCTCAGTACCTTACTTTCTCTGTGCATAAAACTCAGTAAAACTTATCTTGACTAGTGTAATAAAGGCACCAAGTCTAAACTCAATCTCTAATCTTCACTCTAATCCATCCCATGGATTTCGTAAGTTATGTGGTATCACCTATATGAAGTATCCACTTTTATCATTGAATGTATCGGCTTTTGTTTCTTATTTTGTACATCCGTTGTTCATATTTTTACCCTATCCTTGACGTGGGGAGTGAGCTGGTCTAGTGGTTGACGGGGCTTCAGAGTCTGAGGTCCCGGGTTCAACTGCCACCAATGACCAATGGATTTTATCTACTTGATGACACGACCCTCTAGGACTAGCCTGAAGTAATGCGTAACAGTTCTAGGATGTAAAATGTAAAATGTAGGATGTAGGATGTAGTTGGAACATAAAAAAACCCTCTTCTTGACGAAAGTTTTTCCATGATATTTGTCGCTACTGTTCCAGGAGGTGCGGTTCAAAGTGCATGACCCCAAGGCCCACTTCAAGGGCGGGACGTTAGAGAACACCATCAACGGGAGAGCAGACGAGGAAGCCCCGGCACCGCAGCACCTCATACACCCGGGGAAAGACATCAACAAGCTGTACGGAGTCACTCCCAGCGATATAGACAAGTACTCGCGGATCGTGTTCCCCGTCTGTTTCGTGTGTTTTAACCTAATGTACTGGATCATCTATCTTCACATAAGTGACGTGGTCGCCGATGACCTGGTGCTTCTAGAAGAGGACAAATAAGCGACTGTCGTCGAACAAAGACTACGTTTTAAAGGTTTTACGGTCGAATTCAGCTCAACTTACACTCTCGACAAAGAGGATAATAATTTACGCACTTTGAGTTCAGTATTGTTTCTAGTTTGTGGATCGACTGTCGGTTTAAAAGGCTTTCTTATGATTTCACCACTTGTAAAATACCGATAGTTAGTCTATAGCTAGGTTTAGATCTAGATCTCAAACTAAACACTCGGGTTAGTAATTTGGTTTTGTATATTTTATATGACTTATATAACGTGTACATATTCCGATGGAAAGCGATACTGCAAAAGATACTGCATTCGATCTAGCAGTTGCTCAATATTTTTTTCTTTCGTGTAGAACTACGAGTTTCGCAGGTACGATGTACACTATAGAAACATGTCCATCCAGTAGAAAAGTAAAATTATTTTGTTACCGGAATCAAAGAGACGTTGTATATTTTCTGTCGAGTACAGACGGTTACTAAAATGCTGATGAGAGGTCTATTCGTGTTACAAAAGCTCAAATCAAATTATATAGTTTAAAAAGGTTTTATTCGGTAATCGTTAGACGATTGTGTAGTTACGTATCGTATTTTATCTGTGTTGAAGGTTAATTATAGCGTTACCACCTCATTTGAAACTCTCTGTGATTTAAAAAGTTTTATTGTAAAGATTACTATTCCGTTAGACGCGTTAGTAAATAGTTACCACAGATAGGGGTATTGAAATTATTATAGCCTACTTGATGGCGGTTTTATCTGTTCATAGTCTACGTATTAAATACAGTGTTGACCTGTTGTAAAATATTTTATCGTTCGAGATCGCTGTGTTGGAAGTTTTTATACTTTACTCTAATATTACATAATTATAACTTTAGTAATTAAAAAGTCTTAGTTTATACGTTAACAAATAAGATGTACAAAAGGTTAACTAACGTATAAATCGAAGCAGGATAGCGTCTAATCAAATATATAGATCACCCGATATCTTTTAACTTCGTCTTTATATACATATAAATAATAGCACAGAAAGAAGAATTACCGCAAAGGGTCACTGCACAGAATTCTTAACTCGCCTATATAAACAGTTCTCACAATATATATTATACAATATACATATATACATACTGTAATGTAATGTATTTATACGAACGTATTCTAAAGTAAAGACTAGTTTAAGTGTGCACGAACCGATGTCACCTTGTGCATACATGTATATACAGATGTACGTAGAGATATTTTTACATCAATGCAAATTAGGTTGGTAGCCGTGCACGGCTGCGCAGTGGCGGGGCTCAGTTGCTGCGCAGCCCCCCTCCCCTCCTCCCTATGTTGTATTGGTAGGGACCACTGTTTTATACACTACTTTTTCAAACGTACCATCTTCTGGGGTTTATGGAGGCTTCAAATCGGGTCTTTTAATTTAATTGTACATTGCAAAACAGTTGCGCATAGAACATTGTTGTAAAAAACACATTGTATTGGCTGAAGTAAAGTGTATGGTTAATTATAACTATACTAAACTATGTCTATGAATGTTGATAACGCAGAAATAGCACTATCCACCGATAAATTCCATTTATTTTAAAACTTAACCATAAACCATTGTTTCTATTGATGTAATTTTATGACGATTGTAAGGGCTACCAATAAACTGTAAAAAGTGAAAACAATTAAGCTAGACCAATATTCTCAGGTATGTTAAAATTATGTGTTACTATGTAAGAATGTTATAAGTAATAATTACTTTAAATATGTTATCTATAGTGATCGAAAATATACTGCTATAGTTAAATCATTTATAAAACAACTTTAAAATTAAAATACCTTGTGCCAGCTAGAAGGACAATACAAATGTTGACCTTAACAAAAATAGTACTAACTATTGTTTGATAGATTTGCCACACAACAAATGATTGAAGTTTACATAAGCCCCAACCTTATTTGAGTCACCATTTGTTTAGTAGTCATAGATTTGGTAAATACAAAATATTTTGTTCGCACTAAGTGCAATGTCAACAGATATAAAAAACAGTCAATTTGTTGTTAATAAGCAAAGATAACATATAAAACATGTTGTTAAATTTAACCAAATCAAGGTTAAGCCACCTTTAAAAATTATAATGTATCATAATGTAACTGTTAGTACAGAAGAGAAACAACCATAGCATAGCCTCCTCTAATACAAGGCCGCGGCGTTGGTGTATGGCAACGTCGCAGCGGCCGGCGCCAAACATTGCGCAGAAACTTAGGCTTCAGCTGTTTCGGTAGGCCGTGGTTGCGGTGTTGCCACTTTTGTCACGCCGCGGCCTTGTATTAAAAGATACCATGGTAGACCATAGTTATTTAAAATTTGCACAAACAACCATTCTATTAAATAGCTACCCGTCTGTGTCATTGCATTTCGTGCACTGTTTCATTATAAGTTTGTTGTAGTATTCAGCTGATCTAAGCTCAACAATAAGTTTGTAAGATATGTTGAAAAGCTGTGATTTTGTTAAGTACGGCTTACTAAGCTGTTTTCCTTACCCTCGTGGGATAGACTCACCTTCCGACCCCTAAAGTAAAATGTAACCTGATTTCAAATTCTCAAGTGTCCTAGTTGATTTTGAATGTTATTTACTAGTTAGCTAGATATAATTTACCCCAGCCCAGAGTCGGGTCAAATACTTAAATCGGTTGTGTTTAAATACTCTACAAACAAATTCTAAACGGATTGTATAATTATACAGTTCGATGTGTATAGGTTTATGTTCTAGCGTAAGTTAGGCGAGATTAGTTAAGTGGCGTACTTTCTTTATAATGTTGGACTTTTGTAGACGATTTGACGCCGGAGCAGCAAACCGATTCTGTAAATATGACATTGTTTTTAATAAATTATTCGAAAACAAAATGATATTTTTGTGCTTCCTCAACTTAGGGGAAAGTATAGATACGAACAGATAGGCTTAGGCCGTTAGATGAGGCATAGTTCGATCAACCGACTTATCTTTCTTTGGTTTAGTTAAGGCTCAAAGTATTTTAATCATCATGAAGTGTTACTGAGAGAGGGTGCTAGACGATAACGTTGTACTTGAGGGCAAACCTGGGTGTGTGTTGGTTAGATGAACTGACTCATTGTGTAAATTGTTTTAGAAACTGCCTCCTTAATCTTGACTCATTGGTGTATAATTAAATAAACAAAATAATTACAACATCTGTTACACAGTAAAATAGCTCAATTTGATTTCAGAAATCCAAGCTGTGCGAGAAAACGATTTTCATGGAAAATATTAGTATAAAATTAAAGATTTGCCCTTTTCAAAAAAAAAAGCTAAACGTTTGTCACGGATTTCTAATTACGTGTATTTTTATTTCAATGATTAAATTTAATCGTATGACTTTGCGCAAAGGAACCCCTGTGAAATATTAACATGATTTTAATTGTTGTATCAAAAAGAACATTGCAACCCACATTTTAGGTTCTAAGTTGCCTAAATGAAGTAATATAAAACCAAAAAGTTTGTGGCAGTCGAACTTCTTTAGCTATAGAATTTTATACACCATGATTCAAATTAACTATAAATAATTGATAAACAATTATTAATTTCTTATTTTTAAGCGTTCAACCCATAATGCTATTAAACTACTATTGTTTTACTTACTACAGCTTAACAAGCCAATATTGTAATATTTAAATATTTTTTTATTCAAATAGATTGCCTTATTCTACTTCCATGTACATTAACCTAATCGCTGTAGGAACAGAGGAATTGTAAATATACTTGAAGGGTTATAACTTTTTAAAATGTCAAATTAAAAGTGTTCCTCCATTACAACTGCTCATAATTATTACAATTAATTAAATAAATAAATGAAAACATATTGGTGAATTGACGAGTTAAAATAATCATTTTTTCTTTATCTTGTCAATAAAAATAGTATTAATGTTTTTCTTCCATTTTAAGAAACAAAAAAATTTTAAATAGTCAGACCTCATACTCTATGACTTTTACATAACCGATTTGTATGTATATGAAACATAATAAAATGTAGGCTACAGTCATACATTTTGTGCTGATATTCAAAGTCAATTACTATCAAGGTTACTTTGTTAGAAAGTACAATATTATAAGATAAAGTAATGAATTGGGTAAATATTTAAATTGCACCAACCAAACATAATTATTGTTTTGAAAGAGAGCTCACAGGGAGGTTAATTAACCAAAAATCAAATAATACTGTTACAAATAAATTGTAAAACCAAATATTAAAATTGTCTTGTAAACATTAAAAGACGATTGCAAATTTCAGTGTTTATTTTAAACTAATAACAATTTTAACCACTTCTTTTCTTATGTGAACTTAAATCTAAAAGCTCTAGCTGTTATAGTGTCAACAATTTATTTTTAGTTATTAAAAAGACACATATTTAATTTATTTAAGTAGTTTTTCGTGGCTCATCATGAAGTAGCTAAGAAAACTCATTTAGATCTGACTGGAAAATTTAAAATGTACCGTTTTTTTTTTATTAAAAACTTAAACTTGGTTTTTCTGAGATATAGCCAACTTCCACTACATAAATCAGTAAATAAGTTCATAATTTTGTTGATTAACTATTACACGAATTAAACAACACTTTACGACAGGTATAACAAAATCATTGGTGTTAGTTTTTATTTGTATACTTAAAAGATTACTTCAAATCAAATATATTTATGAGAAAAAATTAATTAGTTTTGAAAAATTAAAAGAAAAGAAAAATTAAACAACAAACAACAAAGAAAAAATAAAAACAAAAGAAAAAACTAACAATAACAAAGACAAATCAATTAAGTTCGTGTATTTTATAATTTTATCAATGAAATTATTTAAAATTAAATCAAAGTTTAGTAAACATTGGATAAAGACAGAACCCAATTTAATTTGCAGCACGGAAAAAATATGTATGGAATTGATCCATTTACAAAAAGCATAGTATCAACATTAATAATTCATGAGCTTAAAAGTCATAAACATTTTCAGAAACATGCATCACAAAGATGAGTGAGCTTTGACTTCAGCTTTGAGGTCTGATTTCAATTTCAATTATAACCTAGTGATTCGAATCCAAACAACTAGGTACCAAAAATGTTACCACAGAAACTATAGCCTACAAGATATTTGAATTAACTGAAATATACACAATAAGACATATATAAACAACTAAAATATACAAATGATGCAACCATATTGTAAATTACTTTTCCCTAAATTCTAAAAAAAAAAGAAAAAAAATGGAGGTTTCCATCGACGAACACACAGCTGGTTTTGTTTTCCAGCTGATCAGCCTGGAGTATTTGCTCAAGAGCGAACACGTCATCATTCCCATAATGCACTCGCCACACGCAATACTAACTATAGCTAGATTCTAAACAGAGCAGTAGCGTATCACGCTTTATAACATTAAGGTAATGTTACATTTTAGATTATGTAAACCTATTATAAGAAGTGCGTCATCAACAAAATGTGATTCTTTATGTATGTAAATATAGAATAAAACCTGTATTATTAAAATGTCCCGTGATTTTTACCTTAATGTTTTTGTAGATTTTTTGATTTTTTATGTAGTATAGGGTTGTAGTTGTGAGGAAACCGATTATAAAAGGTTACGAAATTAAATCTATATATAAAACTAATAAGGTTCACGAAATGTTTAAAAGCCTGTAAGCCATACACCTATCAACCACATGTGAATGAAAGGTCTTTATGCGAAACATTTCCGAAAATTATTAGTTTCCCAATAAATCTTCTCCTAAAGGCACGACCCCCCTTAATTAAAAAGTTGTATTTAAATAATTAAAAATATTGAATATGTGTCAGATGTTACATCTGTGTTTACCTAATAGTATACTTCATCACTAGGACGTAAAGTGGCTATTTTCGACCCGAGCTCATATTTCTCGACCGAGGTCGGAAAATGGGCTAGGGTTGAAATTTTGACACATTTTGCCCGTTTGAAGAACTATATTTTTCGTCGTGCTGCACCATTATTTAAGCAAAGTAAGTTACAAAACAAACATACTTGTAAATATTACCTCTCAAAACAACTTCTAACTGGTTTTCAATTTTGTTAATGCAAACAAGCAGTTGTTTAGTAAACGATTCAATTATTTAGTCTGTTACGATTGTGTTAGTGTTAAAATAGTCTTTTACGCTTTTTACTCCCTAGGGAAAAGGAACACAATGCACTTTAGACCTACATTGCATGTAAGTTATTAAAAACTGCTGTTTTTTCTGCAGTATGTCAAAAAATGTTTGTTCACTTATTTCTGGAGTTAAACTTTTGATTCTTGACTTAGATTTTCTATGATTAGAGATCTTTATCATAATAAGCAATAAGTACGACTGAGCTTTGTATCTATAAACTGCAACGGATGTGTAACTGCTTTCCAGTAGATTTAAACAACCAAGCCATTCTCTTCTATTCTGACCCCTGTTTCGAAGCACAAGCGGAGGGACAACAGTAATAGTTGAATTATAGTTAAGATCGAAATAAAGTAATTTTTATGAGAATTGTAAAAGGTTGATATGATACTTTGCCGCTAAAATAAAAATATTAGATCTGGATACCAAGATGTTACAATACAGGAAATTCTTCTCGTCCAGTTGGGGTATAGATTGTTTAGAAAAAATAGATTTCTGAATGAATATTTTTTAGGTGAACTTAAAATCGTCAACATACGTGATTCAATTAATTTGATATCACGGACGATTACTTCGTTACATTAGAAATGACAAGATAAATGTTAACAAAAACCATCATCTTTATTCCATTCATCAAACAACAACACATTAAACTATTATCTGTTTTAACAAAACAATTGAAAAACATATGACTGTTTATTAATCAGGAAACACAGTCTTTTGGCAAACTTATCTATTGAGGGGTTTTCTTTATAAATGATTAATCATCGTACGTCAATCATCCCCTAAAATCGGTTAAACTCATCACACAGTAATGAGTTGATGCATCGAACAAGAAGGTCGCAAATAAACGTAGTTGACGAGACATCTCTGTGAATGTTGGATGGTAGGGAGCATTGTAATGACAAAAGGCAGGCTCAAGCGTTACATTTAGCCTCGCAGTGCCATGGCGACCAATGTCGGTGCGGCGCCGAAATGGCCACGTTCTTGGGAGACTCACGACTACAATTGTATATGTCTGAAACAAGCTTCGCACGACTTTACCCAGCAAGCTTCGCTACACGGCCTACGATATATCAGTGACACTAGCATATCCAGATTGGAAAGGTAAATTGGCTTTTTCTATTAGCTTGTATGTACACTACACCTAGCTGATACATAACGATGTATAATTGTGTATTGTGAAGATGAATTAAGGGGAGTGTGAGTGTATTAGAAGAGGCTATAGCTATAGTATTCAGTGAATTAGGCGATAGCTTTATTGAGATCAGCTGTTTATATAAAATCAAAAACATTTTATATACAAAAAAACTTTCAGAAATATGTGTCCAAACCAGCCGTTCAGTTATTTCTTACAAATGCGAGGTTATAAGATTTTTCATTTAGTTTTAAGAGTTTCCTAAATACATTTGTTAGCGAAAAAATGTTTTGATTGAAATAGCTTCACTTATCCGTCATATTGACTAGATTTGGGTGGTTTAAGTAATCCCGAAACAATTATAAGGTTTAATAGTCTCAGGTGCTTAAATAGCATTATTTACGTCCATCCCGACGGTGGCATAGTGAAAGACTATTAATTGTATTTGGCCACTTTAAAAACATAATTAGCTTGCATCTTTGGAAGCAAATTGAGTACTACTAACTCGTCTAAATAAAAAAGTATTTCCACATTATAGTTACATATGTTTTGCTAGATTCAATACAGTGCGTCGTGTCTGATGCTTTACGTTTAGAAACTGAGAAAGATATAAATCCTTTTTTCGTCATACTGCAGAGGAAAAGACGTATTTATTGCATGCGTTGCTGGTCTAAAGTAGGTCTTTTACTCCCTGTGAAGTAAAAAGCCATTTTAGTCCCTAGGAAGTAAAAAACAAGCAGTTGCAAACTTATGCAACTATTGTAAACTTACTAAGCAGCTGCTTATTTGCATTAACAAAATAAACTAGTTAGAAGTCGTTTTGAGTGATTGTCTTTATATGAAAAGAATTTTCGTTTTCTAACCCTTTTTGTCAAATAATGTTGCGAATTATAGTTCATTACACGGGCAAAAAGTGAGTTTTCAACCTTCGCTCCTTTTCCGACCTTGGCGTCGCTTTGATTGGAAAACTTAAATTCGGGTTGAAAACAGTCACTTTACACCCTAGTAATGCAATATGCTATCTTCTGATCAGCCTTTACGGTTTTGCGGGTTTTAAAATTATCGTAGGGAATACATTGTCATATAAGTAGTGCGTGTTAGTGCATTTGAACTAAAACACAGACATAATAAACTGAACGTTATAATAGCGGTTTAGTTAACCTTATTGTTGCGCTAATTATGCAGTCGTCTTGATAACATAAGTAATTCTAAATGAGCGCATACAGATAAAGAACACACAGCTCTCTCTGTCTTAGTTATAGAGCACCTTCGTATTATTTGAATAAAACATCCTATGTAAATTTTCTCAAAATTAAGACTATAAATCCAATACATACTGTAAACTTAAACACAAATAAAGGCGTGTGTCTAATTGTCTATTGTTGCAGTATTATTAAAAAATTTAACACCAAGTTCTTGAGTCCAAAAAAAAAAACTCTAAACTATTTAATCTGCTCTTAACTCTTATTAAAATGTCTATACATCGAACTCGCTTTTTAATACATCAATCCGTTTAAAACAGGTCTTAAAATCTGTAAATAAAATAATCAATTCGGATTTAAATTTTTAAAAATGTCCCACCTAAGACAACAATCATTGTATTTGGAATACTGAAATATACATCAGTATCCTCATGGCCATTTTCCCACGTGTTATCTCATAAAACACCGTTTTTATAAGAAATTTGACTTAAGTTCTACCATAGATTAAACATACTCCCTTAGGGAGCATGTTTAATCTATGGTTCTACTTGTCCCCTCTCAAAGTCGTGCCGAGGGTTGTGTTTTGGAATGTGAATGCCACCCCTTGCTTTGCTGGATTTGTTTCACCTTAGAGTAATAATACATGATTACTCTGAGGTTCCACTCAGATCCGTAGTCTATAAAGACAGGCCAATTCAAGGTTAAAAGAGGCCGCCATACTCTTAAAATATATTTATTTCCATCCATAGTTAAGGAACTCTTCTCCAGGTGGTTTTGGATGATCGCCTGTCTGGTAGCAGGCTCGTTCGCTGTACACTTCATCGTAAACATGTGCTACGATTGGGTGACCAGTCCTGTGATCCTCACCCTGTCTCCTCAAACCACCGATCTCAAGGACATCCCCTTCCCAGCCGTCACCATCTGCAACATCAACAAGGTCCGGAAAAGTGTGGCGCTGGACATACTTAACAGGTTTGTACGTTTTCTTATTGTTACGATTTGGATTAAAAAGCATAAATTACATTTTGACCATGTGGATGAACAATGAAGTGTCGAAAAAGTGGTTTCTCATAATTAATTTAAAATGTCGGTCAACTGGCTTGTCAAGCAAGTGGCATGTCGGTAAAATGGCCCCT